AAGAAGAAGAAGAAGAAGAAGAAGAAGAAGAAGAAGAAGAAGAAGAAAGTCTAGTTTTCCTTTCTGTCTTATATTGAGACAGGGTTTCACTATTTAGCCCTGGCTGGCCTTGAATCAACAGAGATCCATTTGCCTCTGCCTCCTGAGTGCTGAGATTAAAGGCGTGCTCTGTAACACCCTGCAAAAGTCTAGTTTTACTGTTCATTGGAGACATGATCTTGCTTTGTCGCCCACGTTGGCTTCAAATTTCTGGTCCTCCTGTCTCCATTCCTTGAGTGCTGGCATTGTAAAAGTATGACACCACATTCGGCCAAAAGTCTAGATTTCAAAAATAAAATAAAATAAAGGTGGGGGTGGGGGTGCTGGCTTCATTGGGTCAACCTTAACTGGCTGGAGACCAGCAACCACTTCTTGGCCACTTGGCTTTCCATACTCTCCACCACTTCTAAGCGTGTGCCTGCCTAGCTAGAACTCTCATAACATCCCTGCCAGTTCCCATGGATTCTGGAAGGCTGGATGATTGGAGCAGGGGGTCTCCGGCAGTTCTTTCTGTTGGCTGTGGGCCTCAGCTCTCCTCCTCCCTCCACGAGCTACCCAGGAAGCCTTCACTGGTCAGCCATCCAGCCTTGCGCTCATACCTCACTCCTTCTCTCCCCAGCTCCAGCGATTTAAGCGCTCCCTCTCCCTCAAAACCATCCTTCGAAGTAAGAGTGTGGAGAACTTCTTCCTTCGCTCAGGCTCTGAGCTGAAGTGCCCAACAGAGGTGCTGCTGCCTCCGCCCACCCCGCTGCCGCCTCCTTCTCCACCACCTGCCTCCACAGACAGGGGTCTGCCCACCCCGACCCCCTCCCCCTGCCCGGTCCCTCGCCCCTTGGCGCCACTCAAACCAGTGAGGCTGCACAGCTTCCAGGAACACGTCTTCAAGAGAGCCAGCCCCTGTGAGCTGTGCCACCAGCTCATCGTAGGTGGGTGCCTGGGCCCCTGGGGCAGGCAAGGGCTGGTTAGCATCCGGGAACAAGCCATGCAACCACCTAACAGTGGAATCCTGCAACGGCAGGGTCACACTGCTAACTGTCAGGTGGCAAATGAGTGTCCGGTGGGGGCTGGGCATCAGACCGTTGCTAGAGCGCTGGCCTAGCGTGCATTAGTCCTTGGATTCTATATTGCCAAGTCAGGGCAAGAACAGTAGAGTCATGAGTGGTGGTTGCCCCCACGCTTGCTCCGAGCTCATCTACGTGCTGGTTTGGCTACTGACACCTTCGCTGTAGGAGATAGAGGTGCCAGGCCCCGAAGCCCAGCACAAAACTATTAAGCACCTTGCCTTTTCCCCTTGCCCTCTGCCACCAGGCAACACAGGGTTTCTCTGTGTAGCCATGGCTGACCTGGGACTCACTCTATTGACCGGGCTGGCCTTGAACTCAGGCATGCCCCACCACCATCCCTCCCCCCTCCCCCTTAGCCAGGCTTTTGTTGTTCCCTCTCTTGCCCATTTCCTCTCACTGAACCCACATCTCTCCTAGGAAACTCCAAGCAGGGCTTGCGATGTAAGACATGCAAGGTCAGTGTCCACCTCTGGTGCTCCGAGGAGATCTCCCACCAGCAATGCCCGGGCAAGACGGTGAGTGAGCGCTGTCATGTGACAGAACTGGGGAAAGAACTCCTCAAGGCTGGCTCCTCCCGTAGGGCGGCGCTGGGCTCGGGTAGGGTCAAGCTTTCCCTGCATCACTGTAGCTCTCTGTTCTCTCTCTCTGCCTTCTCTTGCCTCAGTCCACCTCTTTTCGACGCAACTTCAGCTCCCCACTCCTGGTGCATGAGCCGCCACCAGCCTGCGTCACGAGCAAAGAGTCCCCACCTACTGGTACGTGCCCCACATGCCCTGGTCCCTGTTCTCAGACGTCCACGCATTTCTCGGTTCCACGCCCTAGTCACACTGGCAATGCCCATTCCTGGTACTCCCCACTTCCTTTCCCTGGATGCTCTTGTCCTGAATGTAGGCCCCAGTTATTCATTTGCTCATTCATCTCTCATCCAGCAATTTATTGAGAACCTCGTTAGTTTGAGGCAGACACTGGGAGACAGCCCTGAAGAAGGTGAGACTGAGTTGGGTGTGATGTTCCATGCCAGCACTCAGAAGGCAGAGGAAGGAGGACAAAGGAATTCAGAACCATCAGGGCTACTACATAGAGAGCCTAGAGCTGTGTGAGACACTGTTTTGAAAACCAAATAACAGCCGGTGCATGCCTGTAATCCCAGGACTCTGGGGGGGGAGGGCAGAAGCAGGCAGATCTCTGTGAGTTCAAGGCCAGCAGCCTGGTCTACAAAGCGAGTCTAGGAGAGCCAAGCCTACACAGAGAAACCCTGTCTCAAAAAACAAGCAAAACAAACACCAATGAAAACAAACAAAAACTAACTAACTAAATAAATAAGTTGAGCTGGCTAGAATTAGGTTTAGGGTTAAGTTAGCTCAGCAGGTAAAGGCCCTTGCCACCAAACTCGGTAACCTGAGTTCTGTGCCTGGGACCCACATGGTGGAGCTTCAGGTGAACCCAGGTTGGCAGCGGGCTGCCAGGCATTGAAGGCGGTTGCTTAGCAGGAACCAGCGGGAAGGTGGACCCAGTTTATGAGACCCTGCGCTATGGCACCTCCTTGGCACTGATGAACCGATCCAGCTTCAGCAGCACCTCTGAGTCCCCCACCCGGAGCCTGGTATGCTGGGCACAGAAGGGGAGCCCCAGAGGGAGGGTAACTGATCGTGACTGTGGGCCCAGGGGCTGACCCTCCTCCCGTCTCTCCCCAGAGTGAGCGTGATGAGCTAACAGAAGATGGCGAAGGCAGCATCCGAAGCTCAGAAGAGGGGCCCGGTGACAGTGGTAAGCCAGAGTGAGAAGGCCCCGGGCACGAGAAGAGGGTGTGTGTGTGGGCAGGGGGGGAACATTTCTTGAAGCTTCACACCCTGGCCTCACCTTGCTGTTCCCAGTATTCACAGCTCCAGCTGAGAGTGAAGGATCAGGACCGGAGGAGAAGAGCCCCGGACAGCAGGTAAGCCTGGGCATAGCTTGGAGTCCACAGGCCAGAGTGAGAAGGAGTGTGACTTCTTGTCATCGAATACTGTGCACATAATCGCACAGTGTCCTCAGTCCCTAGGAAGAGGCTGCAGTCGAGATAAGAGGCATGGACTGGGCGGTGGTGTCACATGCCTTTAATCCCAGCACTTTCAAGGGAGTTTGAGGCCAGCCTGGTCTACAGCTTGAGCTCCAGGACAGCCAAGGCTATACAGAGAAACCCTGTTTCAAAAAACAAAACCACCAAAAAAAGAAAAAAAAAAAAAAACCCAACCAAACAAAAAGAGGCATGGACAGGCACTGTCTCTGACATGAACTCAGTGACGGGCTCTTTGACCTTCCCCCCCACCCAGGAACAGCCTTGTTAGGCCACAGAGGAGGACATTGCAACCAGTACTGATGAGCCCTGATAAACTAGGGTCAGATGGAAGGGGAGGAGGACCTCCCCTATCAGTGAACTTACAGAGGGGCAGGGAGGAGATGAGGGAGGGAGGGTGAGATTAGGAGGGAATGAGGGAGGGGGCTATGGCTGGGATACGAAGTGAATAACCTGCGATTAATATAAAAAAAATAAAATTATATATTTAAAAAAAGAGGCAAGGAAGTTGGGAGGGCTCTCCATGCTCCACTCCTGCTCTCAAGGACAGGCAGTTCTTGGATGCATGGGGCAGACAGAGGGTGTCTTCGTCCTCCTAGAGCAGCCCTCCTCCCCCACCTAGGGTTGGAGAGATAGATACACATGAAGCCCCATAACTTATCAGAAATTCACTCTGCCCTACCTCACAGACCACCAGGGCAGGCACGCTCACGCTTACAGGCTTACAGCAATGGGACAGTGGGTGGAGCAAGGAGGCGGCCACCATCACTGACCCAGAACTTTTCCTACAGCCCCCGAAGCTCCCCCTGCGGAAGGATGTGGGGTCCATGTACTCCTATGTTGCTCTCTACAAGTTCCTGCCCCAGGAGAACAACGACCTGGCTCTTCAGTGAGTCCTTCCTGTGGTCTAGCCCCCCCCCCCACTCCCCCTGACCCCGAGTGACCTTGGAACACCAGGTGATTGGGACCGTTGGCAGTTTTCTTCTTGCACGTCACAGTATGCTGTACCCACAGAGGGGCTGCGGTTACCCACAGTGATGTCTCCTGCCCAGTTCTGGGCTGTTCCAGGGAGCCTGATGTGGTCTCAGTGACCTCTAAAGGCAGCGAGAAGGCGCTCCCAGCTGAGAGGGGCCTGCAGGGCACCTGGTGACCACATGCTGTCCCCGCTCTCTCTTTCCCAGGCCCGGAGATCGAATCATGCTAGTGGATGACTCGAATGAAGATTGGTGGAAGGTGATTGGCAGGATGGGGTCTGGGGAGGACTCTGATAGGTACTCCACCTTCCCCTCAGGCCTCAAAGACCTCCCTTCCTCCAGTGGCTTGCCCAGGTCAACCCATGGGTCTTGTTATCAGTTTCACCGTCCCTACATCAGCTCCCCCTGTCCACTGTATGGCCTTGGGAGGCCAGAAGCCACCCCCAGCTGAGGGCTGGAATAATGAGAGCCCAAGGTCTGGAGGATGATGGTACTGGGATGAGTAGGGACTGGGTCTAGGGAAGGAGTGGAGTAAAGCTGGTACTTAGGAGCATTGCCAACCTCATCCCCAGGGCAAGATTGGTGACCGGGTTGGCTTCTTCCCAGCCAATTTTGTGCAGCGAGTGAGGCCAGGGGAGAATGTTTGGCGCTGCTGTCAGCCCTTCTCTGGAAACAAGGAACAGGGCTACATGAGCCTCAAGGAGAACCAGGTGGGTGCCAGGGCCCTGCTGGGCTTGAGATATGGGGTAGATACTGAGTAAGGGTGCCAAGTGCCCTGAAGGAGGATCAGGAAGCCCGGTACAAGTGAGGGAGTGGCTTAGAAGAGAAGACATTGGAGCTAGGGACGTAGCTGAGTTGGTAGAGTGCTGGCTCTGGGTTCCATCTTCAGCAGTATGTGAACTGGACATGGCAGAACAGACCTGTAACCTAGCTAAGGCAGCAGGATTCTCTTGAGTTTAAGACTGTATAGCAGCCGGGCAGTGGTGGTGCACAGCTTTAATCCAGAACTTGTGGGGCAGAGGCAGGCAGGTCTCTGTGAGTTCAAGGCCAGCCTGGTCTACAAAGTTAGTCCAGGACAGCCAAGGCTACACAGAGACAGTTTTTGAGACAATTTTTTGTCTCCAAAAACAAACAAAGAAACAAACACAAAAACAAACAAAGGGCTAGGATGGTGAGGCCCTCCCCTGGGGACTGGAGCTGGTAGCCACCTGATGCCAGAGGCAGCTGGAATAAAACAGCACTGAATTATGAATCTAGAAGCTTGGTTATTTTCTGTTTGTTCCTTTTTAATATATTTTTTTTTTATGTGTAGGGGCTTTTTGTTGTTGTTGTTTTTTGCCTGCATGTATTTCTGTGTACCGTGTGTGTGCCTGGTGCCCCCAGAAGCCAGAAAAGGGTGCTGAATGCCCTAAGACTAGTGTCACAGATGGTTGTGAGCCACCATGTGGGTGGTGGGAATTGAACCCAAGGCCTCTGGAAGAGTGGCCACTGGTTCTCTACCTTCCTAATTCTGCGACCCTTTACTATAGTTCCTCATTCTGTGGTGACCCCCAGCCATAAAATTATTCCATTGCTACTTCATAACTGTAATTTTACCACTATTAAGAATCATAATGTAACCAGGCATGGTGTCACACGCCTGTAATCCCAGCACTCAGGGAGGCAGAGGCAGGCTGATCTCTCTGACTTCAAGGCCAGCCTGGTCTACAAAGTAAGTCCAGGTCAGCCAAGGCTACCCTGTATCAAACAAACAAACAAACAAACAAAGAATTATGATGTAAATATTTGATATGCAGGATATCTAATATTCAACCCCCAAAGCAGTCTCCACCTACGTGCTGAGAACTGCTGTGGCTTAACCGCTGAGCCATCTCTCCAGCCCCCACTTTTTGTTTTTCTTAGTGTTTTGCTATGTAGTCCTGGCTGGCCTGGAATTTACGATGTAGGCCAGGCTGGCCTTGAACTCACAGATATCTGTCCACCTCTGCCTCCCTAGTGCTAGGATTTAGTGTGCCCCTGCGAGGGTTTAAGCACTGACTATGCCCTCTGGTTTGCTGGGTAACCTCAGGCAAACCTTCGACCCTTTGCCACCTTTTTTGTGACATGGGATTAGGCTGGGGCACTGTTTTAACTGATCCCCAAGTTCAGCCTTCATGGTGACGTCTTGCTTGCTGTCCCCTGGGTCCTGATCTTGCTGCTGATCCCTCCTAAGGTCCTGCTTGCATCAGCTTTCTCCACACCAGAAACACCAGCCGCATCCTCCCCTGGGGCATGTCCTTTGTAGCCACCAGCAATAGTCATTCCAGGCCTCATCCCTCTCCGTTTCCACTCAGATCTGTGTAGGCGTGGGCAGAAGCAAAGACGCTGATGGCTTCATCCGAGTCAGCAGCGGCAAGAAGCGGGGCTTGGTGCCAGCCGACTCCCTGGCAGAAATCTGACAGAAACCAAGAGAGGCCAGATGCTGCCCCTGCCCGTGCCTGGCCCTTGCTTCTGGCCTGAGAAGGAAGCCGGCACCCTGGCCACACCCTTCCTTTCCCTGGCTCTCTCCTAAGCATCACCCCCCACCCCCCACTTAGGAGCCTTCTGCACTGAGGAAGGTTTTATTTCTTGGGTGGGGTCCCCTGAATGGGGTGATCTTCTGCAGCTTGGGGAAGGGAGTCAAAACTGGGAAGAAAGGAGGAAGCGACAAGTAGGCCCACCCCATGCCCAAGTACCACCTAGCTGGGCTGCCACAGTGAGTCCACCCTCGGGGGTCGCCTGCTGTCTTCCAGAGACCTGACCTGCTCAACTGCCTTTGCATGCCTGACCCCTTGCTGCCCACAGCCTTTGCTCGGGTCTGTGTATCTACCCCTTTGCAAGTGGGGCCTTGTGAGAGGGCCTTTCGGGGTGTTCCTCGGCTCTCTGGTCTGAGTTGGGGCTGAGGACCTAGGGAGAACCCCGAGTTCATCACCTGTCACCCCTTCAATTCTCAGGAAAGTTCAGGAATCTTTCCAATTACTTGAAACCCCCGGCGGGCGACAGAGCAGGGCTGAGGGCTGAGGGCTGGAAGGAAGGAGTATGAGGTGGGAGACTGTTCCATCAAGGACAGTGTCCACAGGGCAGCTTCTTCCTACCTTTGTCTGCTAGAAATTGTTGTCCAAGACCAGCCCTGACAAAGACCCAGCTGAGAACAAGGCACTGGGCCCCTGCTTGATCAAAACTTTTCACTGTCAAGACTCCAGAAATCCCTCTCACCAGAAGCAGCCAACTAGGGGAGTCTGTGGTTGTGAGTTCTGGTCTCTCTAATGGCCCTGTCCTCAGGTGGACCAAACTTATTTTCTCACTGGGCTCTACAGAGCCATCCCTGGGAGGATTACCTTGGGAGACAGAGGAAGGATTTGGCCATGATCAAGCGATGGTCTAGGAACCCCTAGACCTCCTGGGCAGGATAAAGAACCTCTCCCTCAAAGGCTGTTTGTTTGTTTGTTTGTTTGTTTATCTTTATTTTTTATTTTTTTTCTGGTGCCAGCCCCACTCCCCCTCCTTCCAAGCTCAGAGCCTCCTTTAGTACCCTGTGCCCTGATCATGTCAGCCAATGCCACCCCCAGTTCTGGGCACAGTCATGCCTTCCATACAGTGAGAGGACACAGATTTTCCTACCCAACACTTTGCCCTACTTTTCCCCCTGAAAGGGGACTAAAGCCACACTGCCCTGTTTGCTGCCATGAGGGACCCCCGCCCCAGCAAAATCCCCGGGGCGGGCCCAATGCCCAGTGTACACGAGGCTGCATGACGCGGCCTGGGGGCGTCGCTGAGCCCCCAGGCCCATAATTAAACGTTTCTTGTCTCAGCGTATTTTCTCTATGTTATCTGATGGCGATAGAGAAAGTGAGCTGCCGGTTGGGGCTGAGGGTTGGAGAGGTCATCGACCTCTGAGAGGGGGCTCTCGTCTGAGTGGGTTGTGCTAGCGAGGGAGCCACGGAGAGAAGGAGTGAAGGACGCGAGGAAACAGAGTCAGGCGAGGCAGGTGGGTGGGGCCCGAGGTCACTTCTGGGTTCGGCGCGCACCTGAGTCGCGCAGGGGGCGGACCCACCGTGCAGTTGCGGGCGCCGACCTCCTCTCCCGGCAGCCCCCAAGGCCCAGGTTCGAAGGTGGTGGAGGGGACAGTGGCCGACGCCGGAGCCTCGAGATGACTCAGCAGCGGCCGTCATCAGAAGCCCGGCGTTGGGGACGGTGCGGGGAGGGAGCGCGCGTGCCCCTCCGGGCCTGCCGCCCACCTGCTCCAGCCAAGCGGCCGCCTTCCCGCGCCCGCCCGGCCGCGTCACTCGCTCGGCTCTCGTGTCCTGGGCTATTTATAGGCTCAGTGGGGAACAAGCGAGCCCGAGACTGCTGCGGGGGTGCCAGGCCGCAGAAGGTGGGAATCTGCCTGTTTAGACGAGTACCCCCTCCTCCATCCGAGCCTGGGTCCCCGCTTCCACCTTCGGAGCTAGGTAGGCTAGGTGGGGCCAGGCTGGGGACTCCTTGAGCATCCTTTGGGCCCCTTCATCCAGTGAAAGCAACAGAGATTGAGGGTGGAGAAGGGCAGAAGGGCAGCCCTCTCCTGGAGTCCCTCGCCCTGGCACTGGAAGAGAGCTTCACCCTTTTCCCCCCAGTCTGAAGGCTTAAAACAAAACAAAAACAGGATCTTGCTTTGAAAAGAGGGTCTTGCTTTGAACTCAGTCATCGTCCTGCTTCAGCTTCCCAAGTGCTGGGATTTCAGGTGATAGATACGTGTCTGGCTCTGAAGGCTATAGAGAGAATTATGTAATCCAGGCGGTCCTGACTCTTGATCCTCCAGCCTCGGCGCATCCCCGGAGTAGGTGAGATTACAGACGACACGCAGCGCCATGCCCTGCCTCAGAGAGGAGTTCACGTGAACACCTGGTGTGACAGAGCTTCATGCTTTTGGCTTCTCTCCATGACCCAAGCCTCGCTGACAGATGAGGACGCTGTGGTAGAGACGGCAAATGGTTCACCGAGGGTCATACACTTCATACAGCGCCAACCCGCCCCTTTCGCACTCCGGAGATGGAGCCACCAGTGGCCCAGACATTTTGCAGCCTGACCCCCTGTCCCTCAGTATCTTAAGCCACCGCGATAGAGAACAGCCTGAGATGTCGGGCCAGGGGCTCCAGAAATGGATGCCTCCACTTCACTGGAAACAAGTGGAGATGTCGAATTCAAGCCTGTGTACACCCAGTGTCTGCCACCAGCCAGCAGCTGGCCTGGACACTCCCCCGCCCCCCCTCCCTCCCCCAATCTGTTTGCCGCACTGCTGAGCATAGCAGCTTTTTCGGGTGGCTGAGCCACTGACAACAGGCTCACAGCCTAGGGGCTGGGAACAGCTGGTGTTCCCAGCGTAGCCTCTGTCCTCCTCCGTGTCTGTGCTCAGGGACCTGGCCTGGGGATGCCCGGAAATCTGCTGCCAGTTCCATCTCTGACCTACACAAACCCTTCTCCCCTCTTCCTTCTGACATCACCTGCTGCATCCCACCTGGGCCCAAGAGAGATGCAGAAAGAAGGATGTACGAGCCAGAGACAGGTGGACGGATACTGAATACGGGGAAGACTCAGGCAGCACGGCTCTCTGTGGAATCCCACCACCTTGCTAGCCCATTCCCTTCTCCTCAGCCTCCTCAATCTCCCGGTCTCTAGGGCTTGGACCAGCTAAGGACTTGCTGAGACACTCAAGGAAGGCAGCCTTGAGTGTCTTGTGCTTTATAGGAGATGTCCTGGCTTGCCCCTGTCTCGCCCTCACTATGCCACCAGGGAAGAGGCCAAAGCCAGCCCCACTTTCCCAGACCTTGTCCAGCTCACAGCTTACATCCGTGTCTCCGTTCTGTGTCTCTGCACGTGGCACTACTCTGAATCATAGCCGCAGCTGGGAGCTTCGTGGTACGAGGAACTACACAATGCTGAGGTTCTGGGAACTTATCTAGGCCTCAGTTTTCTTATCTAGAAAGTGAGTTGGGTAGCCTGGTGGTGGCCGTGGTAGCGCACACCTTTAATCCCAGCACGTGGAGGCAGAGGTAGGTGGACCTCTGAATTTGAGACTACTACCTTGGTCTGCATGGTTAGTTCCAGGACAGCCAGAGCTACACTGAGAAACCCTGTCTCAGAAGAGAGAGAAAGAGAGAGAGAGAGAGAGAGAGAGAGAGAGAATGAGTTGGGTTTGCTCTGGGTGTTTACCTGGAAGAGAGTAAGCCCCTTAGAAAGATATATAAAGTTATCTGGTGGAAATAGCTCCATACTTCTTTTCTGTTTTGCTACGCAGCAGCCCTGGCTGGCCTCGAACTTGGAGCAATTATGCTCGTGTGCCACCATGCCTGGCTAGTCATATACTGTTTTTTGTTTTTGTTTTTTGCATTGTTGTTTTGTTTTGTTTTTCGAGATAGGGATTCTTCGTGTATAGCCCTGGCTGTCCTTGAACTCACAGAGATCCACATGCCTCTGCCTCACAAGCACTGAGTTTAAAGGCATGTGGCACCACACCTAACTTTAATCATATGCTGTGTGTGTGTGTGTGTGTGCGTGCGCGCGCGCGCGCATTATCGTGAAGGTGTCAGGTCCCTTGGAATCGGTGCTACAGACAGTTGTGAGCTGCCATGTGGGTGCTGGGAATTGAACCCCGGGTCCTTTGGAAGACCCTTAACCACTAAGGCATCTCTCCAGCACCTAATCATATATTGTTTAAAGCTTTATTTCTATTTTTTAAAGATTTATTTATTTATTTATTTATTTATTTATTTATTTATTTATTATGTACACAATGTTCTGCACACGTGCATGCCAGAAGAGGGCATCAGATCACATGGATCTGATGGTTGTGAGCCACCATGTGGTTTCTGGGAATTGAACTCAGGACCTCTGGAAGAGCAGCCAGTGTTCTTAACCTCTGAGCCATCTCTCCAGTCCCCGTATCTATTTTTGATTTGTGTGTGTGTGTGCACACATTAGAAGCTCTGGAGCTGTAGTTACAGGTAGCTGTGAGATGCCCAGTGTGGGCTCTGGAAATTGAACTCAAGTCCTCAGGAATAGCAGTAAATGCTCTAAAATGCTTCCCGTCGCTGCAGTACCAAGTCATATATATATATATATCAGGCAAGCCTCGAACTCACAGAGATCCGCCTGCCTCTTTATGCTTGAGGATCCCTGAAAGTTAGTCTGCCATCATATAGTTTCCTGCAAAAGTGTCAGCCTATGGTTGGAGGGACATAACTTCCAGGCCTTCGGTGATGATGGTCAAGGAAAAAAAAAAGACAGTGGGATGGAGTGTAGCTCAGCGGCAGAGCATTGTCTGTCATGAGTGGACTGCAGAAAGTCAGTGAAATCAAGGTTTCCCTGAGAGGAGACTCAGCCCATCAATTGCCTCCTCCATATTTGCTTCTCTGTTGCTGTGAGAAGCAGCGACCACAAACAACTTGTGTAAGGACAGGGTTTGTTTGGCTTAGGGGTTACAGCCCATCACCAGGGCAGCCAGGGCAGGAACTCAAGGTGGGAACCTGGGGTTAGGAATGCAAGCGGAGACTACAGGAGAAAGCTGCTTACTGACCGGCTCAAGCCTTGAGGCTGGGCACCTCAGCAGTCCCCGCTCTGGCACTGAAAACCTAGGTCTCAGAGAGCCGCTGGTTCTTAGTCAATAATGGAAGCCTGGAAATGCTGGTTCTGGTACCCGTGAAGGTAGCAGCAGCGGGGTAAATTAACGTGGTGACGAGAGGAAAGACCAAGCAGGCAAAAGAATAATTTTCCTTCTCCTGTGGACACTTTTTATCTGGGCTGTTTTTTTCAGAGGACCCACCCACACCTGGGCTGGGTCTTCCTATTACTAAGGCATTCAGAATTCTTCAGGTGAGGCTTCCTACTCAGTTAATTCTAATTTGTGGCAAGTTGAGTTAAACCACCATAACCTTTCAAAATAGCCCAATGTCAACCAAACAGAAACCCCCGGGTGAAGCTGGAGAATACAAATACAGCAGCCGCCAGTGAGCGAACAGCACCATCTTCTGGCCTGGAGTGGAACCAGGGCTCAGGAGCACCCCTAAGCTTGGATCACTGCATTCCCTGTCTCTACCAGTGGTAGTGATGGGAATGTCTCCAAAACCTTTTCTGAGTTGGGTTGGAAATGTCCGTTACTACGCTGAGAGCTTGGCCGAGGCCATACTCCTCTTCCAGGTCTTGGAAAGCTTTTGCTGTTAGTGAAGTCTTACAGCAAGAGCCCAAGGGAGCAAATGTAGGTTTTATCAATGTACAGAAAACTCCAGAAATCAGCATCCCTTCATGGCAGGTCTCACACATGGCCAGATGTGGAGGTCGCGGGAGTGCTCGCCAGCCTGGGCTCTGTGGCTTCTGACCATCCCCCTTCCTACTTTGCCCAGAACCCGATAAAGACATGAGGCAAAACTGTGGTCTATTGGTCCTTGTGCCTCTGCAGACTTTCCTCCTCCACATCTCCTTAAAAGACTGGCTGAGTAGTCACCCAAGAACAAGGGCAAGGAGGACCCAAGCTTACTAGTTTAAGGGGGACCCAGCTTTCCTTGCTGATCCCAGTATAGGCCAGAACTGACAGTGGACCCCCAGAGTTCTGCTGTTCTCCACCCCATTGGGCCCTCCTTCCTCTCACCTGAGGCCTGGAAGCCCTAAGACCTGGCAATGGGGTGGAACTCCAGTTCCACTGCTTTTGCCACCTACATAATGGAGGTAGCTGACCCTGCTTCATTGGAGAACCAATGTATTTGCAGATGGCATTGGGCTCACAGCAATTAAGAATCTTATGGGCAGTTACTACAGCTAAGTAGGTGAATAAATGCCTCCTTTTAGATCTACATTTAAATAGACTTGTATAACTCAGGGTTAGAGCC